TAGGAAAAACTTTTCTTCAAGGATTCCGTTAAGGGTCTTGGTACAAAAAGTTTATGATTAGATCCACGCAAACTATGTTCGTGTATCATTGACGTGGAAGTAAATTTTCCAGACAAGTAACTAGGAACCATATTATTAACAGTTTTGTACATAAAAGTTTTGAACTGTTGGGTACGTCTGGTTTCAAGGTTGGTCCAATTCAATGATGTTAAAAACCCTTACCTATAGGCTATCCCAGACAATACTACAATAATCAAAGTATGGCTGTGCTAAAGAGTTATAGATCATGACAAGAGTTGACTGTGGGAGCAATGGTTTTAGTCTTCGTAGAACTCCAATGATTCAAGAAAACAAACTAAAACAAATTAAAATTAACCACCAGTCACGTATTCGCCAAAGCAGTAAATTAAGATTTAGCGTTTGAAGTTGACGTTTGGCGTATAAATTTTATGCTTGAACTTCTATGAGGGCTTGTAGTCGTTAAACTAAAGCATGAAATTTATACGCCAAACGTAAACTTCAAACACTAAATCTTAATTTACTGCTTTGGTGAATACGTGACTAGTGGTTAATTTGTTTTCTTGAATCATTGTTAAATACCACAAGTTTAATAATTGTTTAATATGTTTCAAAACTGGTGTAAAAGCTGTTATATAATAGAGTTTTTAAAATCAAAAACTTCGTTAGCGGTTTGACGTTTGCCGTATCAACGTCAATCTATAAAACTCTCTATTTTTGGCCCAGGGACTGATCCCCAATCGCTGCTGATCGAAAAAATCCTTTGAGTCCGATCGCCATGAAATTTGACACGACGATTTTAAACGATATTCCTCATCGATTGATGGTCTCTGATTTTTTAGTTTTGATTTAGGGGCAACGTACAAGCAATTCTTTTCTGTACGAGTAGAATAATAATATACACATAATTAATATTAATTTATTAAAATGTCATCACTTAATAATGATTATTAATTGCCCACCAAGAATGAATTCTTCACGCATCTAAGCATTTCACTGAATAAACATTTAAAAGCATTTATTATTAGCATGACAAAATTACTGGATGCTGATTGGTTGAGAGGAGTACAATTATTCCAGTAATTGTACTGCAGTACAATTAATGATTTTCCCAAAACAAACAAAATGGCGGAAAGGTATTTTAAACACAAGCGTGAAATGAAATTGCCGTGAAGGCTCTAGATGAAAATACGAACAAAAGCACCAAATTTTGCTTGAACAAAAGAACTATACAGTAAATGAAAATACAAACAAAAGCACCAAATTTTGGTTGAAAGTGTGGCAGAACTGGGCTTTGGCGAGAGAATATGATGTTGACATTGAGAAGTACGTATCCAATTTTGTCATGCTAATAATAAACAAGTAATCATGCGATGTTGCTCGTACAATTACGGATTAATAGTACTCGTGATATTTGGAAATTTGCCAAATTGGACTCGCCCCGGCGGTTCGTCCAATTTTGGCAAAATTTCCAAACATCACTCGTACTATTAATCCCTAATTGTGCTCGCCATCGCATGATTACCTATACTAATTGTTTGCCCAAGATACTACGTGTGAAAATGCACTAATTACATACATCAAAGTCACGTAATTTGCATGTATAAAGCAAAAGTTTAAGCGAACGCTGCCAATATAAACCGCCTCTACTTCGAGAACCATTTATTGACTAGTGTTTCGTTCGATCATTTTAACCATACCCTATAGAAGGGAAGATGGCTGTGAAACTCATTAGAATAATAATATAACTCATTATCTATGTTAGTCAACGTTTATTCATAAATCTGGTTCTTCACCGTCACGTGTTTGTTGTATTTTCGCCAAATCCATCAATAGCAATTTCCAATTTACCCTATTGTTCGAATCACGGATTAGGTAACTTTCCTGAGACATTGCTATTGGCTAGTTGGGCAAAAATACAATACGCACGTGACGGTGAAGGACAACATTTATGAATAAATGTTGACTAACATAGATAATGAGTTATATTGTTATTCTATAATGAGTCATGTTCCCTTCGATAGGCTAGGTTTTAACATGGCTCGCCGAAGCAACATTAAAGATATGTAAAGTCCGTAATGTAAACAAACGCTTTATTTACATTTTGAACTCAGTGCTACAGTTGCAAATTATGATTAGATATACAGTATATTATACTGAATTTTTAACACTCTTCTGGTTCGCTATGCTTGTAAATGAATACAGACTAGAGATTCAATTCAAGAAAGTTCGGAAGGTGCGAAATATTAATAACCTTTCAATGGTCGGGTCCCGACCGTTGGAATGTGCGCAGAACGAACTTTACAGCATCTTTAAGGGTTTGAAACAATGCAAGTTTGAGTTCTAAAATTACGATGGATCAACGAAGTGATAATTTGCACGATATACCAACTCGGCCATTTCCTGGTCCAGTAGTACAATCGTACTTGTTCTACAATTATTCCAAAGCCATCTTTAATAATCAGAAATACGTCGACGCAGACAGATATATTTGCTGATGATACCTCACCACTGGCGTCTTCTGATGTTTCAAAGATCGAGGAGCTAAATGAAACCCTTTGCCGCGAGGTCTCCAATGTCAATGAGTGGGCTAAATCTAATCATCTTCCACTTAATGAGTGCAAAACAAGAACGATTCTAATTGATGGTTCACGATTACGGAATCGATTAAGTCAAACTGACCGTATACTTGATATTCAATTGGAAGGAAAGCGTTTAGAACAAGTGGACCACTTTAAACTCTATTGGGCCTTGAGTTTGATGAGAAACTAAGCTTCGCATCTCATATCGAGTCGTTATGTAAGAAGCTTTCTAAGCGTATTGGAATTTTGAATAAGATTAAGTCTTATTTGCCCAGATCCGAGCGTGTATTATATTACAATTCCATGATTAAACCACTTATACTCTATGGCAGTGTATCTTGGTCAGGATGCTGTAGTAAAGACTACCTACCTCTTAAGTTACGAACCTGTAGTTCCATTTATATTTTTAAGAAAGAATTATACCGGAAACTTAAGATCAATCAACTTAACGATAAGGTTTTTAATCCATTTTTAGATAATCTTTTATAGACACTATATTATATATGTAGATAGCATGCTCTATACTCTATAGTTGTTTTACTGTTGTTTACATAGCATATCGTGAGGGCCACAAGTTTATTAGTTGTAAAACTATTATGTGTTAGCCTCGTTAAATAAAATTTAAATGAAAAAAAAAACGAAAAAAAGGAAACAGCATGCGGCAGGTTCGTAGGTTAGAGTCAAAGCCACTCGAGTGTGAACATTTACCAGGCATTCAAAAATTTCTCCAACCCTGGGAAGTATCGGACGGGTATACATTTCCCCTTGGGCTTGGGGAATGGCAACAGGATGAACTGAACCATTAATTTTTGTCTTATCTTAAAATGGGTCGTTCCAGAAAAGATCCACACTCTCCCCATGAAGGAAATTGCTGCAATCCAAAGAGGGGGTGTGGGACAAATGGAATGACCCAGTAGCATTAATGTCACTTGCTGCTGACTGTCACCGCTATCTTCACAGTGCTTGCCAAGACATGTCTTCTGGATTGTCTATGTTGCCAGTGACTTTAATTAAATGAAGTGATGAAATTCAATCTAGACCATTGGGCGAAATTGCTATCTTTCAGTTTCGTTCCTGAATGACGAAACTACCTAAAGTTTAGTTATTTAGTTAGATCACAGTATGATAAATATATAATCAAATATTTGTTCCAAAATTTCCTTTGCAAAATGTGAAAATTTTATCTTTTTGACCCTTTTTACAGCTTCGGGGATAATGGGGGTTTAACAGGGAACATATCAAGATTTTGACGGGATAATAGGGGTGTAATGTTGATAGGGTTAGAAACAACATGGCGGCTTCAACTTCTGCCCAAATTTTGCCTTAGGGCCTGTTCATATGATCCCGCTTACCGGGACGTCTCGCTTACCGAGACGAATATTTCCGTGCGTTCATATGGAGTATTTCGTCCCGCTTGCCGAGTGAAATTACATTGTAGTTCTATAATTAACGTATGCAAAACTTCTACATTTCAGTCAAGCAACACAAATACTTGGCGATTTTAGTGTTTTTCTTCGTTTATTTACAAGAAAAAGTATTGCTTCAGGTGGTTATTTCATACTTTTTTACAAAACAAACAAAAAACCAAGTAAAAAGTGTTAAATTAAACCGGCAAGACTTGTTTCACTTCATCCCGGTAAGCGGGCTGGCGTGTTCATATGGAAAAATTTTCATCCCGCCTACCTATGATCTCGGCAAATTCAAACGAGATCTCGGCAAGCGGGCCAGCTCGCTTTCTCATATGAACACAATGCAAAATTTTATAGGAAAATAGATAGGCGGCGAGATCATCGGTAAGCGAGACGTCCCGGTAAGCGGGATCATATGAACAGGCCCTTACTTGAATAACAAGTGTTATTTACATATTGTTGATGATGCAAAGTGCGATATTAAACCGCTAACAAGTAATTAGAGGTTAGAGACATTAGTAAAACGAATCGAAGATTGGAAAGGTTTATACGGAAAACAACTTGACATTGCTCTCATTTTGGAAAGAAAAGGATTGACCGACTTCGTTGATATAAATAGTGGCCTGATTCGGTTGGAAGATGCCAAACAACGTTATCCAGATTTTGGATTCCACGAAGAGTGCTATCAAAAATTTACTAATATTTCTATTATAAACAAGGAAAGTTTGTCAATTTAATTTTACAGCATATTGTAATTTGTAATATTATACTTTTTTTTGGAATGGGAGTGTTATTTGCATTAGTTATATTAAATTTGTTTAAATGTATTTCTTATAAAGTATTAAAAAGCTATGCTAAAATGTTATGCAATACTGTAATAGCCTTTTTTTTGTAGTAGTATTTTGTAGTTATATATATGTGCCATTGTGTTAGATAGTAGATTATTTATTTCTATATGCAGGCAAGGAGAACTTTAGAGAGAAAAAGGAAAATGGAAGAAGAACCAGCTGTACCACCATCAAAACCCAAAATGCCATTTCTCCGAAGCAAGGTCCCAAAGATGTCCCAACAACCACATACAATTCTACCCAAGTTGTGTATTATTTGCAAAAAGCTAACTAAAAGGACTAAGATTAAGGGAAAGTGGGTGCATGAATCATTGTCTAAAGCAGAAACATCAGATGCAGGTAAGATTGAGATAAAAAGCCCAAAGTAGAGGGGATGTTCAGTATGTGTGTATTCTTATCACGTTGGTTATTTTCTGCTTAAAATATAATGATTTATAGTCAACTTATCAAGTGTAGTCTATCAAATGCACACATTTTCCCACTTTTTAGGCACACATTTTCAAAGGCACACATTTCCCCACTTTTTAGGCACACATTTTCAAAGGCACACATTTTCAAAGGCACACATTTTCCCACTTTTTAGGCCAGCTTCGTAGTGCTGCTGAAAGGATAGATGACGAAACTATCTTGAAGGACATTAGAGGAAAAGACTGTTCATGTATTGAGGTCCAGTACCATAAGAGCTGCTACAATGATTATGTCCGTGTTTTAAAAGGAAATGACTCTGTTGGTGAAAAGTAAGTTTTGATTTTTATAGTTAATTTTTATAGATAATGTTTCAGATGTCTTTGTTGTTGTTTACCTTCACTTGAAAATTAACAATACAAATAGGAAATAAAGTACATTTCTTATTTAGGGACGGACCATTAGAAAAGTGATGGGGGGGGGGGGCAAAAACCCCCCAAAAAAATTATTCCCAGAAACAAATTAGAAAAAAAAAATCTTCCCAGCCATAGTGCAAAAAAAGATCCTTCCTTGGAAGATAGGCCTATAAATTTTAATTAAAAAATATATATTTCCAGCCATCAAGTGAGAAAAAAAAAATTTCTTCTATAGGTGTACAAAAAAAAAAATATTGCCCCTTAGAAAATCCCCCCTCCCCCCCATCACTTATCACTTTTCTAATGGTCCATCCCTTATGGTTACATGTTACGTTTTAGGAAAACAAACTTCTTTTCTGAGCACAAAGCAGGTTATGATGCTTTCTGTAAAATAGTGATCAAAGAAAGGTTAGAAGTGAATTGTGAGATTCTGCGCTTGACGAAATTGCAGCAACTACTTCTCAAACATATACAGCTTGAAGAACGTGTGCACCTAGAAAACATACGGTATGGGCTTATATATCATTATATGCATTAATTTATTATTTTAGAGATATTTTTTTGTAAAAATGTCACATCTCTTGATTGTCTTAGTTGGATAATTACCCATTTTTTCTCTTTAAGATCTGATATGTTGAGAGTGAGATTACAAAGGGATTTTGAGCAACTTGTGTTTCACATTCCATCAAGAAGGTTTGTAAATCACTCAGTGTTTTACGTTTATGTTATAAGTGTGAAAACATTATGATCAATGCTATACACTCAAATAGAACTAAAATTATATATGTTTTTGACAATTAACATGCCTGTACTGATAATACCGTATTCTTAGGAATGAATCCACAATTGTATATTGTCAAAATGTAACAGCTGGTGACATAGCACAGCAGTACTTGCCTACAAGTCAAGTTTCTAGTGTTGAAGATGAAAGTGATGAAAATCAGAAGTTTTAGAAAATGAGATTAGAAGTAGTAGAATTGACAGGCATCAAACAAGTCAGGAAGGCAGTTCTGAAAATACATTTAAAGAATTGTTTATGTCAGGTTAGAATTTTTAGATTTTTTAGTGGTGTATTATTCTAAGGAGTACAAATATACAGCAATATTTGGACAGTTTGTTATTTGGTTTAGTTTGTTACAAGCTTATTTGGTTAGCCCATCAAATTTGTTGCATGAATTCATTGTTTGTATTTGACTCGACAAACGAAATGTATAAATGGGTACAAAATTAATGTATAAATTACGAAATTATTCAAATTTATTTGTCCTTCCCTCAAACGTATAATCCTATACAATACTCATTACAACTTTACAACAGAGGGACATTTTTCCATTTTAAAGGTGTTTATTTGAAGAACAAAATAAACAATGTCCAGCCAGAGCAGAGCAAATGGCCCCCTAGAAGTAAAGACCTAATTAAGACTAATATGGTACCAGTTGACTAATATGGTACCAGTTGAACTAGCTTGCCACCGTGTAAAGATGCGTTGCTACAACATATTAAGAGATGTTCGTATCAAGCTGCCATACACCAAAGAGCAATTCAGCAAACCATAGATGCTCCGTCTCCTGACGGCTACGGCTGGTCTGTCAAAGACGGTGTTATTGATGTTGTGTGGAAGACCAAACCTGCGGCTCCAGAATGTCTATTGAAGGTTGTTAAATGTGGCTGTAAGACTACCAAGTGCATTAAGGGTGGCTGTTCATGTTTAACGAACAAATTGTTATGTACAGACATGTGCAGGTGCAAGGAATGGGAAAGATGACAACGAAACTGAAGTACCCGATGATTCATCTCAAATCAGCGCCGTTGAGGATGACTTGGATTTGCCACCCTTTAGTATATGATGTTTTATCGCAAAAAATAAACAGTTCCTTCTTTCTCATCCATGATGTCTATATAAAGATTATTACATGAAAGGTCCCTGCTGGTGTGGTGAACGTTTTCGGTTTCGTGGCGGTGTAATGAACAGTTCCTTCCATTTTATGCCGTAGTGATGTCTATACTTACATAAACCGATTTTCCTTTTTCTACTTTTGGGGATTTTTAAAAATAATACATATTACATAAACATATCCTAATAGTGAACATGCCTGTGTACCATCGCGCGTGCATATTCGCGCTTCTTGATTACTTGAGAAATTGAAAGAAATTATAAACGATATGATTAAAAGAATATATATTATTTACGAAATTTTCCAGTACGCCTTAAATTTTCGACGATTAGCGTGTTTATTCAATTTTGCAAATGTTACCTGATTAAAAATAATGTTAAATTACATGAAGTATCCTGTCACAGGGGCCAAAATAACATGAAGTATCTAAGTGGAGCCTTGTAATCCAAGATGGCGGACGGGTTTTGTTTATACCGAAAAGTCGTGTGAATTTGATGATTTTGCAAAGGAAATTTTTGAACAAATTTGTGTATTTACTCTTAGTATATATTCTTGCACCTATTAACCGAGTTTTGATTGGTTTCATGATTCAGGAACGAATTTCAATTTCTAAGCTGTTTACAAATTTCACCCCATGGTCTAGGACTGTTTCTTAATTTTGTAATATGGAACGTTGCTCACCTCTGATTAGCTGATTTTGGTGCAATGAATCCCAAACAGCAGTGCAGACATCTGTAACAACAGTGCAAAAATCGGTGCAGAAATGTTGTATAGTACATGTATCTTACACACTGTATCGTTATAGTCCACTTCATGGTGCAAAGAAACTTTGCATTCCCAGGACATCAACATTGTTCAAGTGGGATGCCAAGGAAGTCGTTTCTGTCTGTGTTCGTGACACCTTATATATTGCGTCTGAACAATGTTCACTTTCTATGGCACAACCAAGGATTGATACCTTTGTAAGTTTAATAGATTATGATTGGGTGATTATTGGTGAAAAATCAGTGTGACCTAGTCAAGGTGACTATTCAACCCCCCCCCCCACTTTGTATTGTTAAACTTATATGCTGGAGGTTGTGACTCTGTCTACTTTACCATATACACTGCACACAGTAATTATGTAACAAAGGACTCTGGTGTGAAACTGTGAATATCATAAAAAATAACTTGCTTGTTGCAAACACCTAATCCAAACCATTAAATTAACCGTTTTATATACTTGATAATGAAGAAATGAAAAGGTAATATTACACACGCCTGCCTGTTGGGCATTTGTAAAACTATAGTACGGTGTAGAACTGTTTTGCGGTTTTCACCTCATCCACAAAAAATACATTCAAAAGCAAGTTGCAAGTTTCATTGCATTTCATACCTTTCATACCTGTATGTATTTTAGCTCGAGGAATCAAGCACCGAAAGGCAAAATGAAGGCACAAGCGAGATGGGAACTACACCCAGTATTACTAGAATGCAAGCAGTGGATGATGTTGGTGTTGATGTGGTCCAAGAAATTAGGTTTGCTTGTCAAATGCATATTTGTGATAGGAATATTTGTGATCCCATTATATATACTGTAGAGTGTTTATTCGTGGCTGCATGGGCCTAATAGACTCGGTTTCGCAAGCTATTTACAGGCACTTGCCTACAACTTACTGGCAAACACAAAAAGGAGATAAGGGCACTTTGGACCAGCTACATTACCTGCATATTTTCCATTAAAATAGTCCTTATTTCGTTTAGCTGTTACGAAAGTCTTGTCATTGAAGATGATTTTGAGATTTCAGATGATGAAGGAGAGTTACCGATAGTATTAACACAGCCAAGGTACCGACATTTGGTTCCCCGCCCCTTCAAAACTACATGGTACAAGCAGGCTATTGCTGAAGCTGAATAACGAAATGCTTAATGAAAGAGACTATGAATGTATTGTCATTGCAAATTGTCCTTGTAATAATTTACTATTTTTTTAAATTTTAGTGATAGACACGTCTCACTTGCGTCGATATTGTCAGGAATACGCAGCAATGAAGTTGACGAGAATGCTTTTTCTTTCATTAATGTTCGTCGCAGTCAGTTGTGGGTTGATTTGTGTCGTCGCATCACAAAAGGAAAGTTTAACCCTAAAGCTATGGTGTCAATTAAATTTGCAGACTACCACGGAAGCAGCGAGGGTGCTGTAGACATGGGTGGTCCGCGAAGAGAATATTTCCGTCTTGTGATACGGGCTGTTAATCTTGAATGGGGGATATTCTGTGGCCCCGAAGACAATCGCATTATATTTCCAAATGCGACAGGTACTTATATCACAATATAGCTTTCCATAATCTAAGTGATTGTGAGTACGAGAATGATCCGTTATGGATCTAAGATTGTTTTACCGCACAGACCGTATACATGATAACTTCAATTTGAAATCAGATCACAAATCGTGGATTGCTGTACTTTAAGTTACTGTAGAGTAATGAACTATGAATGATGGAGTGTACTTTGTAATTGTTCAATATTTTTGTTTAGCTCGAAGCAAAGATTTTTACAAGTTGGTTGGCCGAATAATAGCTTGGTCTCTCTTTCACGGTGGTCCAGGTGGCAACTTTCTTAGCAAGTCGTTGTATAACGCAATTGCATATAATGGAACCAGTAAAATTGCGCACCTTGAAGACATTTCTGATAAAGATCTTCGTGAGAAAATTTCTTCGGTTTGTTTAAATATTACTTTCTTATGCTGCACTAGTACACGATTACAAACGATATTATACTTACAGTACATCGACTTTTTTGCAGATCAAAAACGCTGGTACCATTGATGAACTGAACGCAGGATTGAAACAGCCGTACATTGAAAAAATTTTAGACGCACAAGGGGCGCTTCCATCGGCTTCCAGCGTTAGTGAAAAACACCGCATCTGTGATCTTCTGGTTCGCCATATCCTCATCGATTCCGTGCAGTTTTTGATAAACGATATGAGAGAAGGTCTTGAAACGCTTGGCGTGCTGCAAGCGATTCAAAGAAACCCGGAAAAATTTAGAGAATTGTTCATTAAAGAATACTTGCCGAAGTTAGACGCAGAAATTGTTGATCTGCTTTTCGTCCCAAAACTTGCGGAGGAAGGCTCAAACAAGCGGGCAGCGCAAGAGCAAGCAATAGTGTACTGGCGTGACTATTTGCAAGATTGCATGGGTAAGCTACCTAATCCAGCTATTGCATATAATTACCTCCCCCAGGTGTATGCGTGTACAGTACAGGGTGTCCCAAAAGGCCACCATTTAGAAATCACTCTTGTGCTTTGTTACACCTTTGGGAATTTTCACTTCACCCCTTTTTAGTCACTAAATTTTGCCCCCCCCCCCTCGAAATCGTCAGCCCCCCCCCCAGCATACGTAATGAATGCAGCCTAATATGTTTGTACAATGACATATTTTCAGACGGAGATTCCAAAGCAAGCCTCAACAAAGTTTTAATTTTTTCCACTGGCGCAAGTGTTCCACCTCCAATGGGATATGGCAACACACCATCGCTTGAATTTGTGGAAGGAGAACTTCCAAAATCCAACACATGTGCACCTGTGCTTTACCTCCCTTTAGGACACCAGGAATATGACCATTTCAAAGAGAAAATGGATTTTGGCATATTGAACTCCCCATGCTTTGGTTATGCTTAGAATAACTTAGTTAAGTGACAGAAAATATGTTAATTTAGGTGTTGCTTATCACTGCAATGCCGGCGATGTTTTGGTAAAATACGTCACTTAAAGGTAATTGTAACACACTTTTTAATTAAAAGTATAATTCATCGTATTACAGCCTATTTTAAAATTGTATCAGGAGAGAGAGAACTTGAAATAAAAGAATATCTACTTATAAATTCCACTATCTGTTTTGTAGTAAGTAAGCTGGCTACATGTAATTCAAACTTCTTAGTATCTATTTATTATATCTCTTCTTGACTGGTCAAATAATTACCCACAAATTGAATTGCTCTTCGGTACAAGGTATCACTGTCTTCATCAGATAATGGGTCTACAACTTGCTGAAGTTGATGTAAACCATGTTCATCAAGAACATCTGTAACATCATTGACTTCAACATATGGGGTGTCACCAGGTGATTCCAAGAATCGAGATACATTGTTTCCTTGCAATAGATTGTGCCTTTCTTCTGAATGCAAAGCAGTCAGATGCCTGTTCTGGCAAAACATTTGAAGAGGTGATTTGTTCTCTTCTGTAGAAACAGTGTGATTGTTGTGGGCAGCTATAAATTGACTAAGTGACTTGTTTAATCGTGGCAGGAAAACATAATGAAGACAGAACAAATCCGTACAGTTGGATGGGTCTAGCAATCCCTGCCTTTCTAAACTGTAAAATGTCATTTTGAACGTACTGACGAGCTGTTCATTTACTGCTCTGTTGTCGCGTTCTATTCGCTGGTTGTGAACTGAACTTCCTACAATGGCTGGATGCGAGTCTTCTCCATGGGTTTCAACCATATACCTCCAAATTTCAACATTCTCGCCACCATGATCAGTGCGTATTTTAACTGGATGACCATACCTTTCGACAGCCCCCCGAAAAACCTGCAGAACAGTTGCTGCACGATTATTGGTTGAAAACTTGCCAAATGTAACCAAACGACTAAATCCATCAATTCCATGCTGAAGTACAAAGCCCCATCGTATTAACTTGTGATTCCCGTCTACGTGCCATAGGTAATTTGGACATGGGACAGAATACACACGACGCCAAATTCACAAACGCTGTCTCGCTCGAACACCTTGAGGGTCAACATCCCTAATCACTGCACGTATTCTGCTCCTCTGCACATTAATACTGCAAGCTCGCAAATGGCCCTGCACCATTACCTCACCAGAGTTTGGAAAATCTTGTTTAATTGCTGTTACAGCATGCCGTAGATGTTCTTCTGAGTGACCTGTAAATCGTCCTTCATAGGGAATATTGTGTTCCTTCATAAAAGTGTAGATAGTTGGCCGTGACACACCAAGTGTCCAAGCTACCTCACTTATTGGAAGCCGGAGAGACAACAGACTTTCAAGTTGTTCCCTGGATATACTCTTTCTTGGCCTGCCAATAGGAGGTGCACTGTAAAAAACAAAGCAATTTGACTCCACAATCACAAAATTAAAAATTACTAACTAGTTTAGAATACTGAAAAACAGAAAAATGTTGTAAGTAATTTATTTGACCAATTAACAACTTGCAAAGTTTTCCCTTGATACTGTAGGTGAAATTGTCCTGTGTATTACAGAGTCAAATAATAGCATGTGGAACTGAATTACCACAGAGCAAATTTTTCTTTACCCAAATCTGCTTTAAATAGCATACATACCTAACACTTGAAGCAACTTCATTTTCATCATTTATGTTTGTCTCTATTACCTCTCCCTATTAAAACATATAGCACCAATTTAAATTTTTTCAATGTTCATTCATTGAACACCCTCTAAGTCTTATGACTCTGAAAACCATAAAGTTATGATGAATCCACCAGAGACTGAGTGATAGCAAGCTATGCATTGAATCTATTGTATTCCCAGTACAAAATCGATAAAATTATTACACCAAATTATTACTTGTCTGGCCATTTCATTGCCAGGTATTTGAGGTGAAATACACAGTGCAATCAACACACCACCCTCTCACCTAGCAACCACCACTGAATTTATTATTGGACTTGACAAGCTTTTTTATATATGAAGTGTCAATATATTTTAAACTGACACAGCCTGTATATTAATCTATATTAATTAAGTAAATATAGAGGATGGGGGCTTATTTCTATTTGTAGCTCTCTGAGCGGGGGCTTATTACCAGGGGGGGGGGGGTACATTATAATGTTCTTATGGGTATATTTTACTGAATTAATCAATTTAACTGATGTAGAAGGTTTACAGACAGTAGAGTTGATGGGATATCATCAAAGAAAAACATTATTAGACCAATTATCAGACCATATATTTGCGGGGGTTTTTGTAGCTGGTTTGGTCCATTTTAATACATTCACTGATTTACATATTTCACTGCGTTGGATATGCAAATATTCTCGGATACGTAAATGATTACCGTGCTACAATACATACCCGTGTCTCGTTGTTTGATGTACTAGTCGCTGCTACATTTCTTTCGTTACTTGTCTGGCGGAGAGCGACCGTAACAGCTTCAGAAATAATCCTCGCCAAATCGTTGTCGTTGCGGCTCGCCATTTTGTTTCCGACGACTTCCCGCTAAAAATATTCCGGCCAATCCAATTCTCTCTTTCAGCAGAAACCGATGACCATACTCAAGGCGCCCGCAAGCAGATAAATGACAATGACATTGCACTTGCGATATATTAAATGACAATGCACTTGCGATATATTAAATGACAATGGCATTGCACTTGCGATATATTAAATGACAATTATGAAGTGTTATTAGGGTCAAAATTCGAATACAAATTATGTTATCCTTGCACTCAATTTATATTCTTTAAATCGAATAACATAATTTGAAATGGCATAACATAATTTGAAATGGCACAATAGAATTTGAAATGGCATAATAGAATTTGAAATGGCATAATAGAATTTGAAACGGCATAATAGAATTTGAAATGGCATAATAGAATTTGAAATGGCATAAAATTTGAAATGGCATAACATAATTTGAAATGGCATAATAGAATTTGAAATGGCATAACATAATTTGAAATGGCATAATAGAATTTGAAATGGCATAATAGAATTTGAAATGGCATAATAGAATTTGAAATGGCATAATAGAATTTGAAATGGCATAATAGAATTTGAAATGGCATAATAGAATTTGAAGTGGCATAACATAATTTGAAATGGCATAACATAATTTGAAATGGCATAATAGAATTTGAAATGGCGTAATAGAATTTGAAATGGCATAATAGAATTTGAAACAGCATGGGTAAAAATCATGCGTTTATTCATATATGGTAAAGGTATTGTCTAAGGATTGTGGTGCATGGATTCAAAATATCCGTGCGTGAAGAAGTAGTTACCGGTACAAGTGTTCGGTAATTTAATTAAGCAGGCCACAAGGAATGAAGGCTCTGTATATAATTCAAATATTTGTAGCAATTTATTTCAGCATGCATCGTTGTAAAGCCAGTTTTCCTGAGCATGCGCAGATTGAAAAGAGGTTGATAAATCCATGTACTTCCGCGTGTATTCGCGTATCAAAATGAAAAGTTTGTCATAAGTCAACTTTTTGGCGTCCTACAGAAGTATTACCAATCAACATTCACTAAATTTTGAAATTTAAAAATTTTAACGTTTTTGATACGCCCATGATGTAAAACACGAACGACTTGATTGTAAACACACGGCAGTTAATATAAAACATGAACAACTTGTATAGCAATCAAAGTTGATATTTTGTAATATTTGACTAGCATAAGGAATTGTATAGCTCTATTTGAATTATCTAGATATCTATCGGAATTGTTGTTTTCTTGGTTATTTTCTGCCATCATGCGAAACTAAATTAAACCCACTTCAAGCGTACCATGCCGAAAAGTATGAAAACATTCAGTTTAAATTGCAAAATTTAGTGAATGTTGATTAGTTAATACTTCCATAGGATGCCAAAAAGTTTTACTAAAAATGTATTCACCAATAGTACAAATAAAATAGGAAACATTTTATAAAATGTCAACTTGGGTTCGATTCTCGAAAACAAACATGTTCGTTTCTCTTAGTACTTCGGCTCGTAAATATACCTTACCAAAAACACCATTCAAAATACTTCTATAACGTTTAAAATGGGATCAACTGATACGTCTATATACTTCATCTAAAATTTTAAAAATTTAAAAATCTCCAGCGGCTTTGGCGTATAGTCCAAAATCGTCCATGTACTGATCTTAGAATTTCGAAACCACCTTACGACAACTTCATATATCGTTCATATTATCTTTTTGTGCTAGTTTCTGCGTCAGCTATTTAAGAAACATTTGGCATTCAAACCCAAGCTCGTGCAAATGGTGTTTTTGGTAACGTATATTTACGAGCCGAAGTACTAAGAGAAACGAACACGTTTGTTTTTGAGAATCGAACCCAAGTTAACGTTTTATAAAATTTTCCTATTTTATTTGTACTATTGGTGAATACATTTTTAGTAAAACTTTTTGACGTCCTACGAAAGTATTAACTAATCAACATTCACTAAATTTTGCAATTTAAACTGAATGTTTTTTATACTTTTCGGCATGGTACGCTTGAAGTGGGTTTAATTTAATTTCGCATGATGGCAGAAAATAACGAAGAAAACAACAATTCCGATAGATATCTAGATAATTCAAATAGAGCTATACAATTGCTTATGCTAGTCAAATATTACAAAATATCAACTTTGATTGCTATACAAGTTGTTCGTGTTTTATATTAACTGCCGTGTGTTTACAATCAAGTCGTTCGTGTTTTACATCATGGGCGTATCAAAAACGTTAAACATTTTTAAATTTCAAAATTTAGTGAATGTTGATTGGTAATACTTCTGTAGGACGCCAAAAAGTTGACTTATGACAAACTTTTCATTTTGATACGTGAATACACACGGAAGTACATGGATTTATCAACCTCTTTTCAATCTGCGCATGCTCGGGAAAACTGGCTTTACAACGATGCACGCTGAAATAAATTGCTACAAATATTTGAATTAGGGACCGGTCATAAAGTAACTGCTAGGTTGGGCTGGAGTGATTTGGGATGGGCCATGGAAAATCTTTGGGCAGTTTCGATGGGCCGCCAATTTTTTTGTATGTCCACGGTTGGGCCACCAAACAAAAACCTGTGCATGTCTACTTCAAAAAATAAAGATATTAATAATAAAAGTAAAGAAGACTATCCAAATTATCAAATGCAAATGACGCTATTGAAGCTAATACTTTGTTTATACAACAACAAGAAGTGGTCGAGTCACAGTAAATATGACCAACTGGAGAGCAGCTCAGTATGTCAAGCTTGGTGGAATTATGTATGTCAATACAGTGCCGTGTATATTTACAATGTTCATACCTGCAAGTTTAAAAGTGTATTTTCCCAATTTAGATTGGGTGGGTCATGAAACAGTTTTTGTGGGTAGCCGCGCATGCGCAGCTAACCACTATGTGAGAGACTGAAGCGCGATCTTCCGTTTCTCTGTGGCTCTGTGGCTCCGTAGCCTTCGTGTCCGCGGTGTCCTGCTGCGCGGTTCCTTTTATCATTGAAATACGAACTGTCTATAGACCACAGGCTAAGTTCTAGACCACGCTCATACTGTATAGAGACGCTAAGTTCTAGACCACGCTCATACTGTATAGAGACCGTCTATAGACCACAGGCTAAGTTCATAACGCTCATACTGTATAGAGATGTATATAAAATTATAAATTCTTAGTATAACATAACGCTCATACTGTATAGAGATGTATATAAATTCTTAGTATAACATAACGCTCACACTGTATAGAGATGTATATAAATTCTTAGTATAAAAGTCTTTATTGCAATATGTTTTGTCTGGTTGAAAGTCATTTCCAACGCATATAGAAGCGATATGTCGTTGTTTATATCAGTCACAGCTTGTACAGGGGTGATTGGGGTTAATATTAGCGCACTGGGTCTGTTTTATATCGTGTATTTATATCGTGTATTAAATGTCATAGTTTAATAAAGACGACTGACATATCAGTATAAAAGTCTTTATTGCAATATGTTTTGTCTGGTTGAAAGTCATTTCCAACGCATATAGAAGCGAATATATAGAAGCGAATATGTCGTTGTTTATATCAGTCACAGCTTGTACATGGGCGAATATGTCATTGTTTATATCAGTCACAGCTTGTACATCTTGTACATGGGTATTGGGGTTAATATTAGCGCACTGGGTCTGTTTTATATCGTGTATTAAATGTCATAGTTTAATAAAGACGACTGACATATCAGTTTGATCAAACATATTGTATTACAATTGTTTGATCAACATTGTACATTTTAATAGTATGATTTATCAGGTTGCAAATAGAATCAACATTGTACATTTTAATAGTATGATTTATCAGGTTGCAAATAGAATCGAATTATGATTTATCAGGTTGCAAATAGAATCGAATATGTCGTTTGTTTATTATCAACATTGATATCATTGTATATTTTCAACATTGATGTCATTGTATATTTTAAATAGTTTGATTTATCAGGATGTTTATTGTATTTATCAGGTTGCAAATAGAATCGAATTGCAAATAGAATCGAATATGTCGTTTGTTTAGAGCCGACTTGCGATAAAACTTTTATGCCGGCTACATTTAGTGTGAAATTGACTTTATCTTCAGCTACAGAAATTGGATAAACATGTTTGTACGACATTACCATTGGAATCGGGGCAGATCATTGGAATCGGGGCAGATCTGCACGGTCTGTGTCTGTGTCTGTGACTAAGCCAAGCACGGTTTACACGAGGGTCAGTGGAATATTAGCGTACGAAGTTTTTTGGGGGGATATACCAAATACATATGGCATGCATTGACACATTAGTTAAACACGACATTGCAATCGGGTCAGGTCTATAATATATGATAAGCCAAGCACTGTTTACACGAGGGTCAGTGGAATATTAGCGTACGAAGTTTTTGAGATACGGGATATATTTGTCGAATATTGAAAGCAAGTTGAATGTCAATACCAATATACATATGGCATGCATCGAATATGTCGTTGTTTGCATGTAATATTTGGTCATTGGAATATGCAATTGTGTCATTAGCATGAGGTCTGTTCTGCATCGTCACAGCTTGCTCAAGGGTCATTGGAATATTACCATATAAAAACGCACGCGATATCTGATTCAAACAATGTATCAGTAAAAATATAAGAAAATCGTGCAATTCTTCTATTATAGGGCCTTCTGTGTGTAGTTCAGTTGGTTGTCTGACAAAATTTGCAGTGTAAATATAAAATCAAACCAATAGTTTTGTATTGAATATGTCTTCGTTTATATATATAATAACAGCTTGCGCAAGGGTCATTGGAGTACTAGCATAAAAACGCACGAGATATTTGTTTCAACTAACACTGTAAGTCTGTATATGCGCAAGGGTCATTGGAGTACTAGCATAAAAACGCACGAGATATTTGTTTCAACTAACACTGTAAGTCTGTATTAGCTAGTAAAAATATAAGAAATTCGTGCGATTTTGTTCGATTACATG